GTGTGAAGTTCAGCATCCTGTCTGTCTGTGTGAGGTTCAGCATCCTGTGTGGTAATTCACCTCCTCTGTCTGTGTGAGGTTCAGCATCCTGTGTGATAGTTCACCTCCTCTGTCTTGTGTGAAGAAGTTTTCTTTTACGGGGCCGTCCCCCACGTCTAGGGCAGAGGAGCATCTGTCACACCAGGATGGCCTTGTGTCCGACGGAAGTGGGGTTTCTCAGCGGGCAGATGGATCCTCTGGGGCCACAGGGTGAGGACCCGGGCTGCTGCCCAGCACAGGGCGGTGTCTGAGGACGGGGGGCTCCCCAGCCGAGCCAGGCGGGCCCCACACCCCCTGCACCCCCGTCTCCTCCCCGCACTGCCGCCTCTGGGGACAGCAGCTCTGCTCGGTGGACTCCTTGGTTCTGCTTATCAAACCCGTCAGCACGTCTCCTGGAGAAGCAGGTCGCCGATTCCCACCAGAGTGCTTCAGCTACGTCTCCTGAGGCCTCCCAGAGGCTCACCGAAGAGTTTGTTTCTCTCTTAATTTGTGTGACGGGGAAGAATCTGTGAGTCTCACACGTCAGGGCGTCCTGTCTGCCCTGGGGTACGGGTGCACACGGCCGCCCTCACCCTGGCTCACGGACCCCAGCAGCACCTGCTCAGCTCTCTCCTTCCCTCGGGACCAGCGGCAGACCCACGGCTTCTTCCCAACGCATTCGTTAATGTCTGAGGCCGTGTGCACACTGTGGGCGGTCAGGACCGAGGGCAGCTCTGGGTGCCGGTGGCCCTTCCCGTGCCCCTCCATGCATTACACGCCTGTCCCACAGACCTGGCCAGCCTCCTGCAGGGCCAGGGGCGGGGCGGGCTGCAGAGCCTGCCCATCCATCCCTGGCCCTGCCCCCGCCTGCCCTGAGTTGATTTCCAGTTGCATTTAGAGGGCTGTTCCCTGCTCTGCGATTGTTTCCTCCCACATTCATGGCAGCTGTGCCCCTGGTTTTCCTCCTAAGACTTCAAGTGTGCGGCTCTCGCTCTGCCCAGGAGCTGGGGGTTGTCTGCAAAGGACCCCATAGCCGAGGTCCAAGTGGTGGAGGAAGCTGTGGTAGGTGACCAGGCGTGGGTGTGGTGGACGCCAGAAACGAACGCAGGAGCAGTGTTACGATGTTCTAGAATTTTATGAGAGAACGTAACTCCCTAGCTTTCACTACGATTACATGTGCATCCCTTAAAAAGTGTTAAAGGGTCTGCGAAGAAATAGGAGGCAGGTGGGGTTATTTCAGTGAGTCCCTGTCAATGGGGCTCCAGGGCTGCAGCTGCTCCTCTTGCCTGGCTGCACGGGACTGTGACACGAGGATGTCACGGGCGGAACTGTGAGGCGTGCTTGTCACGAGCTGTGCGGTGACACGTGTGTGTCACAGGTGAGACAGTGACACACGTACATCATGGGAACAGGGACACATGTGTGTCACAGGTGAGAGCAACACACGTATGTCATGGGAACAGGGACACGTGTATGTCACGGGTGTCACTGTGACACATACGTCATGGGAACAGGGACACGTGTGTGTCACAGGTGAGAGCAACACACGTATGTCATGGGAACAGGGACACGTGGGTGTCATGGGTGTCACGGTGACGCGTGGTGTCACAGGTGGCGTGTCGCTCCCCTGGGCTGATCTCTGGTCCCCCGGTGGCTGCCGGGCAGAGAGTCGGGGGACGGAGCCCTCCTAGGTGAGGGGCCTGGGCAGGTGGGGGTGGCGGGCGGGGGAGGCGGGGGCTACCAGGACACGCCGGACTTCCCAAGGGAGGCTCGCTGGAGTTCTGGGCCAAGACTTGTGTCCTTGCCTCCCTCCCTCACGCCTGGCCCTGTGGGACCACTGCTGAGCCGGGGCTACGGGGCCGCGAAGCCTGGCCCTGGATGGCCGGTTCTCATCTGGTCTGCGCCTCTCACTCTAACGGCCACAGAGAGATGGCATGCCGTGAGTACCACCTCTAGACACGGGCCAGCTCAGTGCCGCGGGCAGAGCTCACGAGTCACAACCCCGCTGCTGCCAGCAGTCAGCCTCAGAGCCTTCTGCAGAGAACCTTCAAGTTTTAAGGCATGCAGCTCCTTACATGGGTCCTTATCCCTCCTCACAAGACATACGCATGCTGTTCTGCCCATGAAGACAGTGCAGGCCCAGACCACGGCCCACGGGGTCAGCACAGCAACCCGACCTGCAGCTCCAGACCACAGCCCACAGGGGTCAGCAGAGCAACCCGACCTGCAGCCCCAGACCACGGCCCACAGGGGTCAGCACAGCAACCCGACCTGCAGCCCCAGACCACGGCCCACAGGGGGTCAGCACAGCAGCCCGACCTGCAGCCCCAGACCACGGCCCACAGGGGTCAGCACAGCAGCCCGACCTGCAGCTCCAGACCACGGCCCACAGGGGTCAGCACAGCAACCTGACGTGCAGGCCCAGACCACGGCCCACGGGGTCAGCACAGCAACCTGACGTGCAGGCCCAGACCACGGCCCACGGGGTCAGCACAGCAACCCGACCTGCAGCCCCAGACCACGGCCCACAGGGGGTCAGCACAGCAACCCGACCTGCAGCCCCAGACCACGGCCCATAGGGGTCAGCACAGCAACCCGACCTGCAGCCCCAGACCACGGCCCACAGGGGTCAGCACAGCAACCCGACCTGCAGCCCCAGACCACGGCCCACAGGGGGTCAGCACAGCAACCCGACCTGCAGCCCCAGACCACGGCCCATAGGGGTCAGCACAGCAACCCGACCTGCAGCCCCAGACCACGGCCCACAGGGGGTCAGCACAGCAGCCCGACCTGCAGCTCCAGACCACGGCCCACAGGGGTCAGCACAGCAACCTGACGTGCAGGCCCAGACCACGGCCTATGGGGTCAGCACAGCAACCTGACCTGCAGCCCCAGACCACGGCCTATGGGGTCAGCACAGCAACCTGACCTGCAGCCCCAGACCACTGCTGACAGATCAGCACAGCAACCTGACCTGCAGCTCCAGACCACAGCCCACAGGGGTCAGCACAGCAACCCGACCTGCAGCCCCAGACCACGGCCCACAGGGGTCAGCACAGCAACCCGACCTGCAGCCCCAGACCACAGCCCACGGGGTCAGCACAGCAACCTGACGCGCAGGCCCGGACCACGGCCCACAGGGGTCAGCACAGCAACCCGACCTGCAGCCCCAGACCACGGCCCACAGGGGTCAGCACAGCAACCCGACCTGCTTGCCAGC